GCCTGATCGCGTGCTGCGCGCCCTGCCGCCCCGCAGGGGTGTCACCGGCTGGGTGACAAGGCACGAGCATCGCCGGGAGCTTTCCCGGGGTTCGCTTTCTGCTGGGGCTTCTCCAGTGGCTAGTAAAGGGTTGGGCTCCGGTGGCAGCCTTTACCGGCGACCGCGGGAGTGCCGGTGGCAGCTTTCTCGCCTCCTTCTCTTCGTGGAGGGAGCAAATACCGGCGATGCCTGCGCCTCCGGGAAACGTGGCGAGATTGGGCAATGGGTTCAAGTGCTGCTGGGGGAAGGGACTCTCCCACGCGCACACACGCGAGCGGTCGGGAATGAGTATCGTTTCCATAGGGAAACAGGCTAAATACACCCACATCCCTGCCTGCCACCCAGGGGGCTGGGGACCCACCCAGCCTGAGCCCTCCGCGCCCGCGCCTTGGCCGGTTCAATATTCCCCATCGGTGTAAAGGCTTTCATCCTCCCTCCGCTTTCATCCTCCCTCCGCACCGGCTTCCAGGCTGCACTCTGACCGGAGGAGAAAGGTCTGCGGGGCCTGGGTTGCTCGGAGGAGGAGGAGGAGGAGGAGGAAGCAGCCGTGGTGTTTGCCCTGCCCAGGTGCAGGAGGGGTCAGCCCCCGGTTTGCAAGGCCTGGCTTCGGCTGCGTGTTATTAACCTGGGCTCAGAAAGGCTTTTCCTTTCTCTGCCCTGGCTCTTCTCGCCGGCCGGTGAAGAAGCAGGGTCACCTCGCACTCAGGTCAGCGGCCTGGGAACGGCACCTGGGTGCCCAAAACCCAGCGTGGGGCTCCCCCCGTCTCCCCATCCCCATGAACATGAACCAAAATTCCCCTCCCAGCAGCAGAGACCGGCAAACCCAGTGCTCAGAGGAGAAGCTGGCCCGGGAGGGGTCGGTGGGAGGAGAAGACAGCAAATTCCCACTCTCCCCTCCTGGTCCGAGGAGGATGTTTTATCCCTGGGGCTAGACGTCTCTAAGGGAGATGGTGCCTGCGGGTTTCTCATGCGCTGGGGAGGGGAGCGGGACCGTATCCCCCCGGGGGGATGGTCTCCCCACCTCTGCCTGCCCCTAGAGAGCATGGGGAGGAACGCGGCGATCCCCCCAGCTCCACTGGCCTGTGGGGTCCCCTTTGAAAGAGGGGGGGACATTTGTGGATGTGGGGGAGGACAGCATTGCGGGATGCGCATGGGGAAACCGAGGCACGGAGCAGTGCAGGGTGTCACATCCCAGAGCAGGGATCCAGGCGGGTCTCCTCCGCCCCCTGCCACGCACTCAGGACCGCTGTTGCCTTCCTCCTCTCCAGATGCTGCTGCTGCCCTGGGTCCGGATGCCAGCGGGTACCGTGTGGGGAGCACCGGGCGGGCTTTGGGGTGGGTATGGGGTTGGTGCGGTGTACCTGTCACTGCATCTGGAGGAATATAGAGAGTATAGAGAGCAGCTGGACCTGTCTCCTCCCGCGCTAACCTTGCCTTGCTGGAGAGCAGGTTTCTCGGGGTGTGACGAGAGCGAGCAGGCTGGCCTGAAATAGCAGCAAATCGACGGCCAACTCTTTCCAGCAACAATGTGGAAAGCGGAGAGTATTTTCCCACCCTCTGTTCTCGGGGTGGCTCCCCTTGCATCTTTTGGCAGAGAAAAAAGGGGCCCCCCCCCCCCCCATCAGGGGTTCCCAGCCTTCCTCCTCCTGCGTCTTCTCCCTGCCAAGGCCAGATGCTTTAGCAGCACATGCAGAAAAGTCCATTGTAGGCAGTTTTTGAAATAACTTGCCTAGAAAGGAAGTTTCTGCACTTCGAAGCTGGCTCGTGCCCCAATCCAGGCACATCACTGCTATTTTTTATTTAAATCCAGCTTGAGGAGCATGGGGAGGGCATGGGGGGTTGGTGTTGGGTCTCTACAAATCTTTGCCCCTTTTTTTTTGTGTCCTCTGGACTGAGAGGCGTCATGTGCTGAAACCCTGGCTGGAATTTTCCCAGGCTCCTTCTTGGGATGCTTTTGTTGCTCTGCTCGCTGTGGACCGGAGACGGGGGTCTCGAGAGACCGGCAGGTCACCCGTGGGCGGGCGTGACTCTGAACCGGATGCTGGGGACCGGGCGCTGTGCTTAGAAATGATCCTGGGGGACTGCGTGGATTTCCGTCACAGCTTGCTGGTGCTGGGGACAGGGTGTGTTTGTGAATGAGTCTGTGGGCATCCGCAGCTCCCAGGCTGCCTGTACCTGTCCTGCAATGGGTTTTTCTCCCTCTCCCCCCACTGCTGCCTTATTCCCTTTCCTGGCAAAATATTTGCGTCCTGCACAGGGGAAATCCAGTGGCTTTCGGCGGCCAGTATCACACAGACAGGAATGTCTTGGCACGCGGGGCTTTCCGTTAGGAAAACAGATGTTTCTGCAGCAACTGAAGTTTTGCAAAGAGCTTTTCCCGGGCTCGGAGGGGCAGGAGTCAGTGAAGCGAGTGCTGTGATCTGCAATCCCTGTCGCCCTCTGCCATCCTTCCCCATTTTGGGAGTGATTTGGGTCTCAGGCTCCAAATCCTGCTGTGTCATGTTGTCACCAGGCTTGGATCAGACCCTAGAAGGGGGGAAGTAAATGCATGAAGGGGCCTAGCCAAAACAGCCCAGGGAGGTGCTGATGGTCCAGCCAGACCCTTGCCCTGAGCAATGCCCCAGCACATTCCTGCCTGGTCCCAGCTGCCTCCCAGGGCTTGGGGGATGCTCTGGCTCAGATCTGCACTCAGTGCCTCCAGTTCCTTGCTCACCCCATAGGAGACAGTGACATAAGCGCCCTGGATTTATTTTCTGGAGGGTGTTGGTGGCCAATGGGTGCCATAAGTCATTGGGTTGTGTCCCCAGGTCTTGGACAGGGTCCCCTGGGATGGTTCCCTGCAGGGTGTTCCCCCGTGCCGTTCTGTTCA